TGGTCTCAGGGGTTATAATTACAGAGAGGGACATTAGTGTGTGAGAGGAGTCAAGCTTCTCCACGGGTTGATTTTGATCAGTCGTTCAAACACACACACACACACACACACACACACACACACACACACACACAATATAAGGCATCAGGCGTATAGTGTCAAAATTAGTCCACACCCTAAAGTAATTGATGGTGTAAATAAATAAAAACATTAATAATTTGTTGGATCTCATTAAAGAAATAGATATTTTTCCACTTTATTTGTTATGCATCTATAACCGTGAAAGAAGTCATAGTGTAGCAGTAGGAGAGAGGTGGGATGTTGCTGTAAAAGATGTAGAAAGCTTTCAGGGAGAATAAAAAACAGGGTTTAGTAATAAAAGAGAGCAGTGGACGAGTGTGTGTGCGTCACTTTCTCTCAACGCTCATTTTCTGGGCAGGCTCATGAAACAGCATTTTAATTTGCTCTGTGTTTACGATTCATAACGAATGGTGCCAACGCAGAAGCCAATGTGATCTGATTATTAACACAAATACATGGGCCTATGTGCACTGATAAGCACACGCACATACACATGCACTGAGAATTCTACATTGTAATCTAATTCATTTTGCAGTTTGAAGTGAATTTTCATTTCAAAATATGCTCTTTGTGAAAGGAACATGACAGGCTTTGGGGAAATTTAGAGCATCATTTTTTACTTATTCGTTTACTACGGGCTGGGACAAGTTTAGGTCATTTCTCAAATGCCCAAAACACAAGCATATTTTTAAAATATTTGTACAATCTAATGCCAAACATGGGACGCATTTATCTCACTGACAAGAAGCCCATTCAGACCTTATGGTGATACACAGACCCAATAAATATATACAGTCCTTGCGTTGAGTGTTTACCTACAATTATTTACTGTCTTCTATTTATTTTATAAAAGCCAAACTAAACTGTGAAGACTTTGTACAATGAGAACCAAATCCCTTCATTGTCTGCAATCCCGTAGCTTGTGCTTGTGCTTGTAGCTGCTTGTGTTTCCACAGGAGGTGGCGGCTGCTTTGTGAACCCAACATAATAAAGCAATGAATTGAATGATTCAATTCAATTGATTTTATTTTGTATAGCCCAAAATCGCAAATTACAAATTTGCCTCAGAGGGCTTTACAGTCTGTACACATACGACATCCTCTGTCCCGAAACCCACACATCGGCACAGGAAAAACTCCCCAAAAAATGAAAAAACCCAAGAGGTAAAAAGGGGACGAAACCTCAGGGAGAACGTCAGAGGAGGGATCCCACTCCCGGGATGGACAGACTACAATGGATGCCAATGATGAGGAATCCAAACATGACGGCTCATTCATCGTCATAAAAGCTGCTGATGATGCTGATGATCGCCCGCCTTCATACGGAAAGGGCCTCTGACACGGGGACATGCGTCCCAGGCGCATTGACATGAGTCACACAAAAACGAAGGAAGAGAGCGTAATCCGAGTTGGACTCTTTGTGGTCTTAAAACATATTCTGAGATTATAGAGTGATTTCTAGATGCTTGTGATGCTCGGGAGATGTTCTTCTTAGTTTCACAGCACAGATTTGTGTGGCAAAAACCTCATCTCTCGACATGAGGAACATTTAAACTACCAGCAACCGCAGAAAGTAGTACAGCAGAATTCGTAGGCCTCTTCTTGCTTATTGCTGGTGGCCACTTATGAAGAGCATATGAAGAGTAACGCTCTAGTGGTGATGCTTCTGATTTGGCTGATGAGGGTTATAAATAGTAAAAGTGGACAGAGCAAAAAAGGTGTGTGTGTGTGTGTGTGTGTGTGTGTGTGTGTGTGTGTGTCAGTGTATGTGTGAGTGAGAGAGAAACAGGCCCCCCAGTGGTGGGAATGACACTTAAAAGAAATACCCTGCTGGGACCCAGAGAGAAATCTCTGAGCTGCGTGTGTGTGTGTGTGTGTGTGTGTGTGTGAGAGTGGTTTTGCAGACACACACGCACACACACAAGGCAATCTGTCCTCCTAACACAGCAGTGGCTGTGTAAGGAGAGGCAGAGATAACAAGCCCCCATGCCATGCAGGGAGATGGGAGGGAGCTTAGAGAGGCGGAAAGACACAAACAGTGTGAGGATGAGACACGAGAGAGGGACAACACATAGACAGGGTTCAAATTCTCTGATTTAGGGTTTGTGACTGAGGACAATTGTTTGCTAATGACTTTGCCGTGCGGAGCTAGTGGGTGAGAGTCGAGGGGAAAATGGGGGGCTGGAGTGGCTAAGAGAGATGGAAAGAGGAGGAGTAATTTATGATTTGGTGAGATGGACGGAGAAGATGAGAAGGTGGAGAAAAAACGAGTGCAGAGATTAAGTGTAAGAGAGATTGCAGAATAAGATCAGCGCCAATAATGAAATAGAAAGAGGGTTGCAGTTGCCCCCTATTGAGAATGGATGTTTTTTTAAGTGTAGTTTAGTCAATTCTCTCTCTCTCTCTGCAGCAGGCTGAGTGTCTCACATTTTGAACTGTGATGCTGGTAAACATTTCATACCCATTTTTCAACCTTCTCTCAAAGTGAGAATGATGAAGTACGTAAGTGCTCGTCAACGCTGCTCGAGTCTATGTTTTCTGCTTTTGTCTGGTAACTTTTAAACTCCCGATGTCCCACTTATACTTGACTATGTAGTGGGAACATGTCAAACCAAGAAGTTAAATGTCATTCTAATATGAAAGTGCTGTCTACATTATTGCCTCCATTATATATACATTTTATATATATATATGTATATACATCCGCCACAGTACTGTCTGAATTGTTGTAAAATAGCACGTATTGAGATGGATGTTGAGGCAGATTGATGACCTCACACAAGAGCAAATGCTGCCAGTTTGCATTTTAGCAAATCACTACTGTTAAAAAATGCCTTTTTGACACGTTGACTAATGCATTGTTTTTCTTATAAATCCATCGTCTCCGGAATGTGTTTTTCAAGATTTTCATATTTAAAAGGTTGATTTGGACCAATAAAAAACACAACCAGACCTCAGACAGGTTGATTGCAGTACAGCTGTGCACTTTGTAAAAAACATGAATAGCAGCAATCAGATCAATTATAGAAATGAATTAGATCATGTGTTGAATAAAACACAGCAGTTAAAAGCGTTAACAAATGAAGCTGTGCTGAAATAATCATTCAAGCATTCCGTCATATCGATCCAGCTCATATTAAGTTCTCCGAGTGGTCCATGATCCACTGCCTTCTATTAATATTAATTTACTCAATAAAGCATACATGAACTTTTAAGTCCTCACACATGTCCAATGTATTCTTCTCTGCTCAGCTGAGCGCACCGCTGCTCTTACTAATGCTGAGCCAATTACTATTGCAGGTGTTGTGCCTAGAAAGGGGCTCGGTAGGTCGGTTGGGTTAAGCAGGTCGATCGATAAGGCACCAAAATCACCACAGTTTCAGATTTCAGATCTATCAAGCATCATTAATCCACTGCTAACAGCTCGATGATTCAGACACACAGTGGGTGAGATTTTGGACTGTACTTTTCCCTGAGATCTTAACTGGACTGGGCTTTGCAGAATTGCTGCTTTGTCTTTTTCTCATTAAAGATGAAATTAGGAACTTTACTACTCTCTGTTAGCCTGCTTAACGTATTCATACTCTTTATGTTTGGCTGGCTTGCCTCACTTTTAAACACTCTTTGCTCTGAGCAGAGTCGTCGTTTTGTGCCTCGGTTTTCATCGCCACGCAGTCTGCACCTTTTGTTGTAATATTGGCAGACTCTTTCGTAATGGAAACAGCCCTAACTTCTGTGCAAAAACAACAACACACACACACACACACACACACACACACACACACACACACACACACACACACACACACACACACACCAGACTTTGACTCTCGCAACCATACGACTAAATGCTCACAAACACAGAGAACACGGATAGAACAACGTACCCAATGTTGCACACATGCAAACGAGATTATGCATATATACTACAGTATACATGGGAGCTACATCCAAAATGAATGGGTAGGCACACCCCCCCCCACACACACACACACGCACACACAGAGGATTCTTGCACACATTTTTGTGTTTGTTCTTGACATTTTAAAGAATTTGATGAAAGGCTGGTATGAAAGGGCCACGTGTTGACATCATCTTCAAAAGTGATTTCTCTGTTCCTTCTCTCTTAGTTGACTCAAGGGACTTCTGTGCCCGGGGTGGACTGTAGTTAATTAAGCACAGGCCTGTGTGATTGAAGTGTGTGTTTATGAATCGTGCACACAAGCATGTACCTATAGAGAAGGGGAATGGGCCTCCTATATCTTCATAATATTAATGATGACTCTCCTGGAATTATTGTGTTGTACGATCAAATAAACATATTCGATGCAAACATTGGTTGTTTTTCTTTCATCCAATTACAGAGATACCATTTTATTCCTTGTGTTATTACAGAAGGGCCACAGGAGACTCAGGAGGATCTGTATAAAAATGCATGCTAAGAAACTGGAGCTTACAGATTGCTTTATTTGTATGTTGCAATGTGTGAGTGTCTGTAAGCCAAATGTGTATGCTTATGGGGGCTTTGTTTAACTATTTAAATTGGATAATTGGATAGTTCTAATCATAAATTGGTCTTTTGTGGCTTATATCTAATAATAGAGTCAGAATCATGACCTGCTCTTTCATTCTGTCGCATTATTCAGTCTGACATCATGTTCATGTTGCCGTTCTTTGTTTGACAAAAGAATTGGTTGTTCTGTCGGAGTCTGTTGGCGTTGAATTTCACATCCGTCATGTCAAACCTACTGAAGTGTTATTATTTATAAAAGGTGTGATCATTACAACGTGTGCAGCTGCATCACGGTTAATAACTTTTTCACACTTAATGACGTTTCATTTGTTGGATTAAACACCAGTGTATATTAGCCTGTTTTTTTTAACTCTCTCTCTCTCTCTCTCTCTCTCTCTAATCTCCAGTGCATGTGAAGGCAGGGACGTGTGAGGTGATCGCTGCCCATCGCTGCTGCAACAAGAACAAGATCGAGGAGAGATCTCAAACTGTCAAATGTTCCTGCTTCCCCGGACAGGTAGCTGGCACCACCCGGGCCATGCCCTCCTGTGTCGATGGTAAGTACTACTTACTACTTACTAACTACTACAGCATCAGAAACACACCTGGTTTTAGTAGTGTGATAAATTCCTCTTGAATGGATACTGTCACTTGGTTTGTAGCTTTTCCCGTTGGATTACTTACCGGCGCCTGCTCGGGATTGTAACAGTGAACCGTTATTCTAGATCCAATGCAAACTGTTTTCACCTATCTGACAAACCCTTGAGCAGTGATAGGCCGTTTTGAAGGGACATGGGCTCACACAATAAGGATGACCTTAATCCAGGTATAGAAATTAGCAGCAAAAATCTGCAAATATCATTCATTTGAGTATAGCATGGCAATTATAATCTGATTATTTCGGCCTGCTGACAAATCTAATATCACACAGTTTGCTATAAATGGTCAATTCTGTCATACAAGTCCCTGACTGTAATATCACTTATACTGCAGATTCGGACCGAATAGTCATCACCAATGTGGCACTCAAAGTGTCACTTGACTTAGAAATATTTCATAACGTCATATTGCATACCATTTCATTTAAAAACATCTGCTGTGTGTGTGTGCTGCTCCCCTCTGAAACCTAAAATGAAAATTGATAAATTATCATTTATAGAGAAGATTTTGGTTTGATAGTGAATCCACAGCGCTGTCTTAGCAGTATTGGAGCCAGACGGCAACTGCTGCATCTAAAAAGTGAAACCAATTTGTATTATTTCAAATGGCCGAGTCTTCTACAATTACTGAGAAAATGACCCTAATTCTGAGTTGATTTATTACCTCCGTAGTATTATAAACATTGGTTGCTGGTCTCAATCGCTAGTTTAATTTCCTCTTCAGCATGATGTTCATTTGTTGAACTATGGCCCCATTTAGAGTAAAATAGACCATAAAGCAAGGTATGCTGCAGGGCGTAGCTACCTCGGGAATGACAGATCGCCATCAGTCTGGGAGCGGGCCGTGCTTCTGCCACACAACTGAAGAAATCTATTCTGAACAGTTCAAGTAAGCTCTACTTTAGAACAAAGCAAATACCACCAGTGACCAGTGACACCAAATGAAATATAACAAGTTCTAATGAAACAAAATGACTTCTTAACTGAGAGGCAGAGTAAGGAAAATGCTCCATGAGGAGGAGTTCAGGTGATCCGGCTATTTTGTTCAGCACTTTAGTCAATGTTGATCGACCGTGAATAGACTCCCAAAAAAATGCCAAAGAAATCTTAGGATCTTTACGAGCTCTTATCCTTCTGGAGCTGACAATAAATAAAAGGTTGATCCTGCACACCCAAATGTGTACTTGTGATTTTACACAGAAATGAGCTGTTTCACACTAGTGCTGACAATTATTCTGGGCGTAAAAAGAACACATGGCTTCTGTTTCTTTGTCCACAAAATCAGTTTCCGCAGCTGTAAGAGTAGCCCTCACAAACCAGACTGCCGGCCGTTTACATTCATGCAAAAACTCTTTGTGTAAGTCTAAAATTGGTGCTACATCTGTGGTTTATCATTATATTTTTTCCAGCAGCAACATTTTTTATATATTTTGATCTATTACACTGCGTCATATTATACACACTCGTGTTTTGTTTGCAAAATCTTCATCTGAAAAGTAACGATTAGATAAATTGAGTGTGAGGAATCATTTCTTACAACATAGAACTTGAATACGTTGTAAGTGCTCACAACCCTATCCACTTAAAAGAGTTTACAAACCGTAAAGCTGGCCTGAGGATATTACATCAACGTTGAGCTGACACAAATTCTGACAGACCACATAATGATGACTTGATTAAAGTTGGCCTGGGCTTCGTATACTCGCACATCTCTGCTCAAAGCAGTTATCTGCAAAATCTCATTACTAAGAAATCCCCTGAATATTCTCATAACGCAAAGTTGGACTAAGAAAAGTATCTCAGAGTGTCTCTAATTTCTTGGGAATAACGTCACTGGCTGTTTTTTGCTGCAATATTTAGTTTCTTAGTTGGAGTGACAATTATGACATTATTTCATAAGCAGTATTAGCTGGTAACTAACTGTGGCCACTTTCCCCTCACCCGTCTATGATAAAGAAAACGAAAATATGTATTTTGATATTAATTCCTTGTGTACAAATGAGCTCCCTGAAATATAACATTATATCCCAGCTGATAAAAGGTCCCTTCCGTGCCAGTCGAACCCACAAGAACTTGTGTGCTCATGCATGCAGTAATATACGCAGTATGAGGCAAAATAAATCATGACGTTCATCGAGCGTGTGATTTTAACTGAAGCGGCCGCTCTACTGAAGAAACAAAAAAGTTTGCAGATGAAGACAGAGACGTCATTTTACCATCAAGTTCTTCACCTCGTTTTCATATTTAGGGTTTTTTAATGGCGGCCTATTAATCACTTGATCCCGCTGCAGCCCATTCCTTTTGTATTGGTGCCAAACTGGAGAATTAGTACTTCCAACTAGAGATGCAACAATTATTTGTCTAACTGATTAGTAGATTGACAGAGATGTAACTCCCAATGATTTTACCAAGTATTTTTAAAAAACAACCTTTTAAATAGGAGATGTCCTGCTTGTTTTGTACCAAACTAAACAAGACATGCATAACTGATGCTCATTGATATCTTTTTAATAATGGTATAGAGCTGGATTGAGTGTCAGGGACAGTATGCACATCTGGTATTGCATAGGCATATTTTAACAACATAATTAAATCAAGCCTGATGTTTCCTTACACAGGAATACTGCTGGTCTCACCCACGGAGTGGAGCATGCGGCTAATTTATTAAACAATGGTATACGATAGGTACTCTGAATCAGCCCAGGTATAACTCTCAGTCCAGATGGTTTATATCAAACTGAAGTAAATCAGGATATTCGATGATTAGAGCTCTAACAACAACAACAACAACTACTTATCTTGATGTGCCAAACTCCTACAACCCACAAATGAATTCACATTGTGTTGAAACTCTCAAATACAAGATGTTGAAACACACAAAACGCACTAAATGAAAACAACCAGAAACATCAAGTCGCGTCGGTTCCTAACTAAATATGTTCTGCCCTCTTCTCTCTCCCCCCAGCTTCCATTGTAGCTCAGAAGTGGTGGTGTCAGATGCACCCATGCATGGACGGTGAGGAGTGTAAGGTTCTCCCAGACCTCACAGGATGGAGCTGCAGCACAGGCAACAAAGTCAAGACCACCAAGGTTGGTGTCACACAATCTCTCTGTCTGTAATATCGCAAGTTCTCTCTCTCACACACACAAAAACACTCTTCTCACCCCTCTCCCACACGTGCATTCATTACAAGGTGAGACCCAACACCAAGTGACCCACTTCTACATGTTCATGTGAATCTTGCCTCTACTCCCTACTGTTCTATCCCCTTTTCCTTCCCTCCATTCCATTCGGTTTCAGACCCAATTCATCCCGCTTCACCGTCTCATCCTGCCCATCTTGGATCTAACATCAGAGTCTCCAAAAAAAGCCCCAAAAAAACAGGGCCAACAGGAACAAGAAAAATAGCACACGTGCACCCCCATGCATGCATGTACACGCACACAGACACGCAAAGAACATCACAATTCCCTTCACTCTAACTTGCCCTGCTTACCGGTGTCTGACTGGCATCTGACTCGCTGCAAAGAAACCGCAACAAGCAGATACACCAGAGTGATAATTGTCCTCGGATGTTTTTTCCGCTCCTGTTTGCTCATAACACATTATGTGCAGTTTATGAATGTGTCCATTTTCAGTTGGCTTTTATATGTGTGTCTGTAGGCGTGTGTGTGTGTAGGTGGGGATGTACCTGATAACGTATATACCTGTTGCCTTATCTTCAGTGACTTGACCCGAGCCCCCTCTGCAGACCCACCTTGTGTCACTGTATGCTTCTGTTTCTAACCTCCATCCTTCTGTCTGCGTCCTAATCTTCCATTATTCATGGCGGGCGCAGACCTTTGTTTTCTGCCTAAATAATTGATTGAAGGCGTGGTCCGTGGAGGGAGAGTGCATCTCCTTGGGAGAAAGCGACGGACAAGACACGAGCAGGCACCTCTCTCTTTTATTTTCTAAAACACTCAGAGATTTCTTTCCTATACACCGGGTCGATTAAGAATTCCTTCTCTGCTTTTTCCCTCCTCACCTCGCAAAGTGGATCTCACACCCTCCAGTTCTTCTCAAAAGCTCCCCCCCACACTCTCAAATACTTTTCTGCTGTGCTGGCCCAAAGCTCAAATTTGTGTTAGGCTCGTTGTTTCCGAACTTTCCAGATTCACTTTTCAAATCACAGAGTCCACAAAGAGACAGAGAGATGGAAATAGAGAAAGACAGCGTGGTCTTAGAGTTTGCAACGGGCTCGACTGAAGAAAGAGGCACACATGGGTTTATCAGATATGAGGATGATGTAATTTCTGAATATGTCCGTGCCGTTTTGAAGTCGATCTATATATCTGATCTGAAGCGCTCAGTTTTATCAAACCCAAAGTGCACATTCATAATTTCCTAAACGAGATCAAAGCAAACTAGATTGAGCCAAGCATTACTTTTTCATCGACTTTGTCGTGGTTTGAAAGACTACAAATATTTGCTGTCTCTTCCATTCAGGGCCTTGATCAACAATCTGTGTGTGTGATTTGGTGTGTTTGCCTGATGATGAAAAGAGGGTTTTTTTTATTCCCGTGGTGGTACGTTTAGATCAGGATACGCAGGCATCCAGATCAATAACATCGATCGCGCTGATATAGACCCATTAAGACTTGCTCGTAAATTGAAATTGACGATACAGTGAGAGAGAACAGGACGAGAGACGGAGAGCAAAAAAGAGGCAAGAGAAGAGACATATTTTAGAAAAGAAAAAATAACACATGGGCGGTGTGAAGGGAAGATGAATGAACTTGGTCCGCTGACAGGGAGCTTATGCTTGTGTACACAGAGCAGGCGAGACCACAAAAGAAGGTTTGGCCTCCTCCATCCATTGCTGGCGGGGAGCAGAGCAAAGGAGGAGTGGAGGAGGGCAGAGGGAGGAGAGTGGGAGGGGATGGCAGACAGCTCGATCAATGCCAAATAATGTCATATGGATGCAGACGGACACTGTCGTGCTGCCAAGCCACTGAGCTGTCATAGGCATATGGGTGTGTGTGTGTGTGGGTGTGTGTGTGTGTGTGTACTAGCGGGCAGTAAACGCACACGCAGTGACACATCAACAAAGAAATGACACGCTGTATGTATATAGAAAACTTCAGGCAACATAATCGTCAAGCGCCTTCGATAGCAAACAATACTAACACTGAATCGATATCTGTGTAGAGTAATTATATGCAGCTATTAGATTATTAATGAACACACAACTTTGAATAACGGATAATAATCCACCGTTCTGTGACTAAGCGAGTCACAAAGAGGACACAGTAGGACTGTAGTGGACATCTGAGCAGGTCACTGAATAGACACCCGTAGCCATGTAGACATGCATGTAAAAGTTGTGAAATAGGTTGGAGAAACTGGCACTCGTGGGCCTGGAAGGACCTATAGAGCAAATTTGAGATCCAACTACCTACATCCGCTTTCCAATAGGGTACAGAAACGCCACCTACAGGCATAATTGAACAGGCAAGGGGCTGAACACCTAAAGGCACTTGGAAACACCGTAAAGCATGGAAGCCACAGAGAGGTGCGTGCACATCGTAAACTGGCGTGACTACACACACTTGCAGCCTCTTTGATGAGGGACAGGGGTGGATGCCTGAGGGCAATGGGATCGGGCCCAGGAAAGGTGGCCGGGAGCCATCAGAGGCAGATACAGGAGAACAGTTTCAGCCACACCGGCTTGGAGATAACGCTCCTCTGAGCTCTCTCGGTGATTGCTGGCCTTCACACTCTGTTAGCTGGCGCCAGGTTCGGACAAAAGACCCAGTCCCTCACCATGGATGTACAGAGGGGAAAGCAGGTGTTGGAGCTGAGAGGGGAGGTCACGGAGAAACACGAGGAGGAACAATGGGCATGCAGAGAGAACAGTATCAAACTCAGGGAGACTGGTGTAATACATGCACAAGCACTCCTGTAGTTTGGAGTGGAGTATTGGTGTCCGTTTGGTCATTGGCCGGTTGAGAATGTCCCCTAATAGCTCGATAAATAAACCAGAAGTGAGTCCATGAGCAAAGAAAATGGAAAGGTGGATAAGAAGAGATAAATAGGGCATGTGTTTAGAGCAGTCGTCTCAACAAACAAAGTGACATGGCGGTAGTCCAGGTGCTGAGAGTGAAACATTGTGGGCATAATTCAAGCTGCCTAGTTGGTTCTCTTGCCACGATGTTGGTGCTCAACCATGATTGACTTCAGAGCGTGCAGCACGGCGCTGCATACTTTCATATGTTCTACCAAAATGGGTTGCTTGTTTTAGGCTTGATGATGTGTTTTTTAAGGACTATTTTGAGTGACCCACTGTCTTTTTCTTCCTGTTTCAGGTGACCCGATAGTCCTGCCCGTTTCGAGGAGGGCAGAGGTGGCGTTGGAGTTACTTAAATAGCACAATGGACCCATCAGTGGTGAGGAAGCCCGCTCAGACAGACAGCTACGAGGAGCCGGTCATTATTGCATTTTCTGAGGATATTCAAGAGGTGGAGGCGGAGGAGACAGGACTCTTACACCGTCTTGGGTCAACTTAAAGAAAACAGAGATTTCTTGGTCCTTTACCGCACAGGACCGCATCACCCACAATCCTTTACTGCTTCTACAAACAGCAACTTCTAACAAGTGAGCTATGACCTAAACAGCACTTGATTATATAAAAAAAAAATAACTTTCTTTACAACGATCTGTGTTCTTCATCTCTCTTCTATGGCTTAGTTGTGTTCCATACGCATACTGGGAAGAAATGGGATCAGGACTTTTGACAGCTATCCAACATTATAAATGTCACTACAAAAAATGTGTGTGTGGGGGGGGGTTGCATCCAGAATGGCTGTTTCATGATGTCGAGATGACAACTTTAAATTTAACTGTGCCACATATGACACACCTGATGCTGTCAGATCTGAAACTAAATAATTTTTCTTTTTTAAGATCTCATCTCCAAAAGAATATTTTACCTTGAATCATTTGTGGCTTACCACATGCCATTTTTTAAAATGGGGAGACAGTTCGTCAGTCTTCTTTTTATTTCTTTTTTCTTTTTTTTTTGACAAAGGACAAAATCCTTTCCGGGTGGGATTAGACTAATACCAAGTAGATGTTATGAAATATTGAACCATGTAAACGTGTAAAAAATGCTCCATGGAATCAACAGGGCTAAAAATAAAATGACGCTCTAATGGTTTTAATATTTGTGTTTTCAAACGCCTGTTAACCGCTATTGAGTACATGTGTCAGTATTATATGAAATGAATAAAACCTTTCAAAAGAAAATATAAATCTCTCCTTTTTTTATTCCTGAAAATGTATGTTTAACAAATGGATGCTTAGAGGTTAAGGATAAATAATAAATAAATAAAAAACTAAATCTAAATTGAAAACGACTGGTCAATTAGGAGAATTGTGACAGAACTAGTTGTTGTTAAACAGAAAATCAGTCATTTAAGTTTTCTATTTTTCTTTTAAAAGGTGTACTGTATAACACTTTGCCCAAATGGTCTAATTTAGGTGATTTATTTAAAACGTAATATCAATCATTTTTACCCCTATCAATTTGAAATAGTTGAAAACAAAAATAGAAAGGCCACTAGATGAAAAGCTTTACTATTTCTGGTCCCAACATCTTTGCTATTTACATATTACACATGAAGGTCAAATGTTGCCTCGCGGGGGAATCCGGGGAAGCTGGAGGGTTTTCCAGTCCTGTTGTTTTACCATCGACTCCATCTCTGTCCGTGGTGCTGCAGCCGGCTTCTGGGGAGCTGCACTGAGGTGCCTTTCAAGCCAAGTAGGCGTGGGTGGAAAAGTAATCACTAGAAGATGTGCTGAACCTGCTCTTGGTTTTGAAGTTTAAGACTTTGTTATTACCATTACTTTACTCAGCAGAAGGTGAGAGTGTTTATTTTCCTTTCATTTCTGTCTCGTTGCAGTCTCATTGCATATTTTAAAATAATGAATAGGTAAAATGTCTACAACAAGCCCATAGCTTACTTTGAGGTAATGTTAATAATTGTAGACATCACCAACACACACAGCACAACGCTGTATGGATGCTTGTGAGAAAAGAAATCCTCACATTCTCTTCAACCGGACCAGACCATTGGGAAAAGTGTGATGACTCAAGAGAAAATTAGTACCAGTACTGTAGTTCCCATCACAGGGTAAGGGTTTTGCCATTTCCCAATTCTGTTTCTGCAAGTCATTAGCTTTTGACAAATAGATGTGAAGCTCTACTCAGTCCCCACCCAGGAGATAAGAACTAACTTTAAGTATTGTAGATTAGATGAGGTCTAAATAGGTTTAAATAAAGAACAATTCAGTCAGTAGAGTTTGGAAAATGTATCCAGAACAGCAGGACGAATTGTACTTTAAGCATGTAGCTGCCAGTCATAGATGTTGATGCTGAGTAGCAGGATCCCGGGTTGCAACCTTGATGAAGGAGATGTAAGAGTGCTCAGACTAAGAAAGTTGCATGCATGATGTTCGGTGTGGGCATCTATCTTTTCTCTCCATGACACACGGAGACATTAAAGCTGCCTTTCTCTAAAAGGCTTTTCTGATTTGGCTAATCTCCCAGTAGATGCTTCCACTGAGCCTCAGTCATTCTGTGTGTGTTTCATGGCCGGGGCTCTTTCTGAGCCTCAACGCGTCGTTAGTGCATGTCATTAAAAGATTATACAGAATAAACCCTCATACTGATTCTCACATTTACACGCGCATGAGGCGAGAAACTGAAAGCTGAGCATGGAACAGACCGCTTTGATTACACAGAAAAAAATGTATGAAAGAGTCAGAATATGACAGCCTCAATTTTTTTTAATGTATAATTGTTATCTTTTCACACAGCGTTTCTCAATCATGAAACCATATGAGATTCAGGTGTATTGGCACACGGGGCCCCTGTGTTGCTGATGAGCTCTACTGATGACCCTCTGCTGCCACATTCTTCAACCATTCACCTTTCACTACCCTGACGGGGTTTCACACAACCTTCCTGTTCTTTCATTGAAAGATTTTCAGACAGAAACCAAGATACAATGACATGAGTATGTGAGGACTTTGGCTCTGTGCAACTGCCACGATAACCAGTTTGTTGTGATTACGCGGGCTCACAACAGAGGTACGAGAGGGCGTTCTTTGAGACGCAATTTTTTTTCTTTGAAGTGAGGCAGAATTTGTACTCCACAATACAATAATACATTCACTTAAATCCTGGTGAGGATGAAATCCTTTTCAAAGAGCAAACCTGAAATCGACAGAACACAAGACCGTTTTCTTTTTCATCGCTGCCGGAGCTGCGAGAGCTCACCTGCCAGAATCAAAATGTAAAAGCTGCAAAAAGACTGCACAATAAAGACATTATTTTGACAATTGCATTTTCTAAAGTAAACAAATTTGGATATCACCATGCTTTTTTTTCAGGTGAGGCTAATTAATAACTCAACTCATTTAGTTTAGCACCCAGCTTTCAGGATCTTCTTAGCCCTAATCCAGAGGTAAAGTGGACTAACCATGTATTTCTACGATTAGATTGGGTTCTCTGTGCTTTCAAATATTTATGCTGCTCTCCTCCTCCGCTAGGCCTCCTGCATCGCCTATGCTGCCTCATCCACCTTCACAAACACTCCGGCCCAATCGAAACACTCAAACCCACTCGGTGCTCACTCCAAGCTTCTCATGGCCTTTTTATTCTCTGACCTCACTGGACTTATTTTACAGTGTGTACTTTATTATACTCAATTCAATAAACCAAAACCAAACATAAAACTATTATCCTTTTGTTGAACTTTTATATATTTTTTTATATTTATATCTATATAACTTTCATTGATCTTCCCAAATGAGGACATTTTGACTGGTCAATCACAGGAGAACTTACTATGATTCATCAAGTGGCTCCCTTTCCAGTTCGGTGGCTAATTAAACTTCACTTGGCAAATTAAGTCATAATTAAGAAGGTTATTATACAATATTTAATTATCATTACAGTCATACTGAAGTCACTAAACACTAAATTTGTTGATGATGAAAAGAAAAGGCAAGTCCGTATTTAATAGAGATTCGTTGTGATAACTTGAATCGTTTGACATGCATGAATATTAACACCAATGGTTTAGAACAAGTGGGATGCATCATGTGCTGCAGAGTTGCCGTTCACAGCATGCAACACAGCGCCAGTAGCACATGAACAGCTGTAATTATTCTTGTCCAATATGTATATAATAATAGAACCGCCTCCTCGTTACCTCCACGACAACATGGAAAGAAATGAAGAGTACAGATGTCAGAGCAGGTACAAGCAATAGTTTGTTTATCTTAGTGCTAGTTGTGGTTCAGAGAGATTTATGGGATTGACGCAGTCACTCAAGTTAGTCAGATAAACAGCATAGTCACGTCTGAATTGGTGAGTGCAAATAGACAAAATGTACCAGCCTTCTCAACTGATCACTCTCTTGGAGAAATCATTCTTTACACGGCTACTGAGAAAAACGTAGCTACCCAAAGTAACATTTGATTTGGATTCATGTCTAGAGGCTGGTACCAGAATTGGTTGTTACTAGGTGTGTAACGATTCATTCACTGAATCGATTAATCGATTTAGATTCCTGCGATCCAACTGAATCGATCTGTGCGCCACAAATCGGCATTCCGGACAACATATATCGATTACAAATCGATTGAAATGGTACATAATCGATTGTATCGATACTTGGAAACTGCACATTGGATTTAAGTACAAATACGGCATCCTGTATCCTGCTGCGCTACAACATAAAACACTCACACTTGACAGTCATTTTATAAAGTTTATGAGAACTAGAGAAATATATCATGGTTGATATTCATTCCATGCACACAACATTACCCACAGTCACTTACACCCCTAGAACCAGACAGCGAAGGTGTCCCACAGGCGTATATGCCTTGTATCCTAAAAAACAAACAAATATATATATATATATATATATATATATATATATATACACATACATGTTTTCAAGGCACCATCCAGTTTGTGTAGTACGCATGCAGACAGCTATAACCCTTCTATCGTCTGATTCTGACGCGTAGATAAAGACATGAGAGGATGCAGAGGAAGCGCAAAGTGGAAGTGGGAAGACAAGTAATGTTTGGGGGAGTCTTGTGATGTTAGTGAGAAGTGACGGCCTAAAAACAATACGGCTTTTGTCGTGAGACTTGGACAACACAGCGACGCTGAGCAGGTTACAAATTAACTCAACGGATCGCTGTGACATGAAATTCAGCTGAGAGAGTGCGTGCATATGTGTGTGTGTCTGTGTGTGCAAGGTGGAAAGCACACGAGAAGTAAAGAAAGAATGTGTGTGGGACTGATAAGCAGCACGGGCCCAAAGGGTTCCTTCCATCGCCGTCTCAAACTGTCACTTTCCTCAAACACCTCACGCTATCCACGCATGCAGCCACACAAAGGCAGATAGCCCCGGCCCCCCGAGCGTGTCCGTCATGTCAAGGGAAGCCTGAAATGAGGTGTACGCTTCCCCTCCGAGTCGATCCTCAATGAGCATTACATTTGAGTCACGGTGATTAAGGCCGTACTGATGACTCACACAGATCAGATGCCCGCTCGTGGCGCTGCGTAATGTGCGTGAACGTGGGTGTTGTAGTATTCACTCTCATGACGTCTAGACTCACTTTAGGCTGTTGACACATTCTGTCACCACAGACAAACACAGCCGACCAGCACATTTTGTTTATTGTGGTGAGGCAAGGCTCAGGAGGCCTTCAGGAGGGACAGGCCACCGTCACCTTGTGTCCACTATTGCTGTCACAGCCAACAATTGATGATGGGCAAGCCCTCTCTTTCACTGAGACGTCAGTACGAACCCAACCGTGACCTGCATAATGCACCTTCCACTGGGGTGTGATTGGTATACAACAAAATTCCTCCATAATTATCCACCAAATAGTTTTTTATTAATGCTGAGATGAGAAGTAGGCAACGCAGCTTTGAGGTTCAAGCTATTCTCTGTAAACACGTTTCAGATTTTATAGCAGAACAAAATGAGCTAATTATTCTATACAAACTGCATCCCTCATCTCCCTGGAGCCTTGTGAATATTCATTTATTACATCTAGTCTTTAATGCATATTTCTCCTCTTTATCCGTTTTAGCACATGTCCCCATTGTCCACCATCCATCCATCCATCTTCAAACCACTTATCCGTCATACAGGGTAGCCGGAGGGGCTTGGAGACCCATTGTTCACCAATTTAACCAAATATTTTTCAAAGATAT